TCAGTGTCTCTAAGATGCACCTGGAATAATAGTGATCTAATATGACAGCGTAAGTGAGAGAACTGAGTAGCCAGGAGTAGAAACCGTACGCAAACCACGTGCAAATCCAACTTAACACAACTGTAGAAATCAGAAGTTAAGGATCAAGATGGTGATCTAAAATATTTTACAGAAGGAATGTGTTTAAAATCCACTCAGAACAATTACCAATTATTGCCACTGTACTTGTCCCCAAATGCACTGGTACGGCCAAAAGTGGAGAGAGTCCGCTCTCCCTCTTGAAATGCTCTTACATTTCCACACGTATACAACCACTGTCAGAGAAGTCCTACTCACAGCGGACGTGCTACTTACGAAATTGAGAAGACGAAAAGCGAGTTCCCGGTACATTGGGTTGGTGAATACGGAGGATTCATCCAAGGGAAATACCTTACTGCTGTCATACCCCTCTACGCGAATATCCTGCTCCTTAACCAGGTTGGTGGATACGGAGGATCCATCTAGGGTAGTTGGAGAACCCGGATTCAAAACCAATGGTGTACATGGGCTCCAGGATCATAAAGGAACAAATGGAGTGTTGACCTATTGTCGGTTACCGGGTACCATGAGACTGTATGTCCTAACGTTGCTCCACTGACTTGTGAATTAGACCTCTAGGTCAAGGGCTCAATGAGAGGCCTTTTAAGATCACGTGCTTCAGTCTGAGAACCCAGGCAGTACCACAGCCCACTCACAAATCAGGTGACTTGTGTGGCACATATGTATTCGTTGCCCCTTTGTAACAATATTTGTGTTCAAATAAATAAATAGCCGTATTTATATCACCTACCAGAAGATCGGAGAAAAATCGGATTCATTTATCTTCCTTACTACAACTGTTGGTATCATTGCCTAACCGTCATGTTGATTTCTAATTATCCTAACATTAAGTGTAATATAAATATCGGAAGGTGTTCTAGGAATTTACCTTTCTGTGTTCATGAACACCTTTCGACATGATTAATGGAAAGTGCACGCGCAACTCAAACGATCTATACTAATCCATTTATTTCTGGAGGGTCATAATGCCAACATGAATCATTCATTCACATCAGGCTATTACGTCAATAATTATCTACCAAAATTTCAGACTCGGTCCCTTGGTGTCATGAGCGATAGCTTTGTGGATTAAAAAACTGGATCCTCTTCTCTTAACCACACCTTTGCTTAGTTATGTTGAAAGTTGTTTACGAACACAGGAAAGTGAATTTTTAGAACACCTTCCGATACTAGTACTGATTAATAATGATCTCGTAAACCGAATTTACATCACTTCGTACACTAAGTAGTCCTCAATTAAGCATTTGACATGATTCTTAATCATATTATTTCTTTCATTCTACGTTATCTAATATTTACAATGATTACTAACCCCACAATTTCGCTTGACGCATTACATTACTCAAGTTAACATTACACACTAGTCATCTCAACATTGATAACTCTAGTTCACTAACGATCTTAAATTTATGTGGTAATTTCAGATAAGTAAAGTAAGTAAAGTAAGTAATTTCAGATAAGTATTTGACATGAACTTACGATCACTATTCTGGACCTATAACTGAACTTGATAGGAATTTGTCGAAAAGTATATACTACGATCACATATCTTTGTTTTAAATAAAGATTTACGGGAGAAATAACAAATGTTTCAATTCCTTGTGATATCACTTAAATAATTCGATAATTAAACTACTACAAGTTGGTTAATATTGCTACGGATTTTCCAGTACATAAAAATGGAGAGAACCATTAACCTGCAATTGTACAGGATCAATCATAATGCATACATAAAGTGGATGGAATGTGGTTATCAGTGGAACCTCAGATGCACGTTTCATCCTATTTAGAACACAGTTGCATGTACTGGAATCCAAGAGTTCACTTTGATTCCAGAACTCAATAGAATGGATATATTGAAGCGATTCCCTCAGGATGCATATATGCCAACTAAGACTGATAAAAATCCAGTCAAAATACTAATAACGATATATGCCAAGCTACTAAACGTTAGGTTACAATCATAATGTCATTTGGGAAGTTATTTACATACACAGTCCCCCCTCAAAAAAATGACATAAGTGAGATTGGAGACGGAAGTCTTGGTTATTGGATTGACTTTGTTTCATCAGAGTACGATCTAAATAGATGAGATTACTCGTGACTGTCATAATGGAACGTCAGTTTTTCTAAGATAACTGTTAATCATATAAATTGGAAATGTTCGTTTACTAAGAAAGATAAATGTTTCCAATCTTTTGCATTTTCCCAAGTTTTAATACCAAGTCAGCGCATTGATTCAATAATAGTACAGCACATGTCCGTATCACAATCTAACCATAATTGGGCTGATTTATTTGAATCTGCTCTCCAAATTAATGAACAATATAGGATTTCCAAATCTTATGAAAATTAAAGGATATACCGTTACAAATCTAACACCACAGACCGAAAAACTCGCTTCGCTAGTGATATATTTAGTTCCCATAACAAAACTAACGTCACATTTGAGAGAATCTCTCAGGTCGCTGATCCCAGTGATAGATTATATAAACATACAAATAAACGTAAGACACCCAAAGTGAATAATATACCATCACCAGAAAAAAATCAAAATATTACCAGCCAATCAGCTTATCATTCACATTATCAATGTAATTCAGTCTAACCATGTAAGTATTATCTTTTATGTAATTCGGAAAAGTATATAAGTATACACTGACCAATGTCTTATACACCAATAAGATGTAAGTAAACTTGAAATTTTATGTGGTTAGGTTTAGATTCATCTCTGCTTAAAATACTTGTAACTTAATGGCAATAACGAGATAATCTGCACAAAATACACACATACTAAAAAAGACTGATCAATTGGAGTCCCAAGCATCAAAGGGGAGATTCAAATAAAGGATATATGTGAATTAAAATTAGCCACACTGCACAAACCCGTGGATATCTGGATTTAGTAGCTAAGCAGATAGAGCGACGGTGTTCAAATTGAGCAGTGCTGGGTTCGAGTCCCGAATTGAATATCAACTCTAGGATGCAGGTACACCTAGCTGATCAGTCCCAAATGTGATAAATATAGTTTGGTGGTTTAAAAACTCAGTTTCCAGCAGTCAGGTTCTAACATTATCCTAGACTAAAAAGTTTGAAAAGGTAAGTAGTAGCATGAAACGTGATAATGAAGGCGGGTTAACAACTCATAGCGCTGATTTCCAGATAGATATGAACAATATAGAAGTTGGCACGAATACGTATCGGTTTAAAATGTTGCACTTGACATCAGCACAACCGAGGAGAAAAACCAACTAAACAATATGGACGCAATCTCGATGACAATATCGATAGTACTAGTGCTATACAAGAAAAAGGAAGGAAAATCGAAAGATTAAAGAACTAGAGAGACATTAGGAGCTTGCCTACTAATGTGATCAGTATTTTGTCACATCACTTTAAATGCCCAACTATTGATTACCGTCACATTTTTTGCACAAATCAAGAAGTCAGCCAAATACTATTGAGTTAAATTTGCTGCACAAAATAGCAATCTCTATGTGAATCGATAGGAACTAGTACTAAATCGGTAAAGCTGAACACAATAAAGTCAAGCCAAAATCTGTGAATGACCTTGACGGGACGACGCATTCAACAAGTCAGAATGCAGCAAATACGAATGAGATTCATGATTTGGATTTAGGCTTAGCATTTATATTTAGGATACGTAGTTAATGATTTAATGTGAAGATCAGGATGTACAATCTTGGTTTCGGAGTCAAAATTAACATTTACAGATAGCTTATAATTTAGGGTTCGGGGTTTACGGACTGTCGTTAGGTTTGTCTGTACATCCTAACGCTAATCTAAACCAAAACTTGGTCATGGCCCTAAACTTTGCATTCTAACTGTTTTACATATGTTATGGTTTTTTTTGAATAAAATTTCTTGTAGTGTAATCAACTGGTAATTCACCATTCTTATAGAACATATCTATTTGATGCACGCGATATGACCTTGAAAAGACTTGAGCGCTCACTATTGGCTCTCCCTTAAAGTCTAGCTTAGCCAATAAATCACATGGTGGCGGAAGAAAAAAATCATCTCATCTATTTGAGTTAAAGTTATCGCTAAGTTTACCGAGAACTAACAGGACAGTGAATTCGCAAAGGTCAGTGGGAAGTAACCGCTAGCCCATTGACGAGATCCCGATTACATTTTTGAACTCGCAACAACTAATTTAATTAGAGAATAAGTCGGGAATAAAAGGCATGACTACCATGCATTCAGTCTTCCAAGCCCGGTCAGTATGTGTACTCTGAGAATACACCGGACTAACAATGATGAATTAACTAACAATTTTACAGGACGTTGGAAATTCTACAAATAAGCTTCATCTAGTGTCTCAATACTTGGAGCTTAATATTTGTGAAACTACGATCAAATTCTGAAACTACACATGAACAACAACGATGGACCTATAATTTATGGACGGCCTTTAAGTGACGCTAGCAACCTTGAGGTAACTCACCTGCTTACCAGGGTCAAAAGAGGGTTATAAATTATTGAGGAATTAGGATTCGGAGTTAGAATTCAGGGTTAGGAATTAAAGTAAGGGTTTTCACCAAAGAGTGACATCAGCTATAATATGAAAATGCTACTTAACTATATGGACGACAGGATTTCGAGCCAAAGCTCAAGACTTGCTGTCCTTAATTTCATTAGTTCGCCGATAAATTAGTCTCGCCATCATAACCGATTGTTAAAAGAGTTTAATTACAAACTGTGATATAGAGTACTGAAGTAATACAAAGGTTAGTGGTTAGTTGACAAGTGGTTTGACCAGTGTGGTGGCGCACGTAATTTTAAGATAAAACACTAAAGGCGTAAATGGTTACATATCCCCAAGGTAACAACAAATAAGGTTGAACACTAGAATCAAAATAAAGCTGGTCAAGACTTACGTGTGAGGCATTTGCAGCCATAGCAACCGCTGCATTGGCTAGTGTGTTTAGACTACTGAAGGATTCAGGTATAGTTGTAGTTGCAAGCAAACCCGAAGCCACATTCGGCAAACATCCGCTAGTTACAACTAACCTACTCAGATCAGCAACTGGTAAACATGAATCTAAAGAGTATGCTTGTCCATGGGCTGGAGGTGCAATAAGAAGCGCTGATGATGGGAGAACAATCCTTCCTGGGAGAGAGTTCGCTGTGTTCTTAGAAATGTTTAGAACATGCGGCATTGCCATTAGGGGTGCAATAGGAGTTTTAGACATGCCAAGTGACATAACAATTGGATGAGTCTGACTAATAAGAGGCTGTGGTGCAAGAACAGATGGCGAGCAGCTGACAAAGGGTACTGATGTATTTTCCTTTTCTGTTGTGTTGATATGCTCAGGAGTTTGTAGTCGCTTTAAGGTTTGCTGCAAGCTTTCAATACTAGATGGTGTAAGCTTCTGTAGTAATTGTAGCCAGTCATCTTCACTCAACTGGATGGGTGCTGAATTAATTCCAGAGTCTGATTTTTCGTTTACTTCAGTCATTGTATTAATCCTCACAATTAGTAGGACATTGGACCAATTGGCATTGCAATTCACTCATGGGAATTTATCGAAACACCATAGTAATAAAATAACCATCTTAGAATAACATAACGCACTGAAAATGCAGAAAACTGGACAACTTGTTAGTGCCGAAGCGATTGTCCCAGTGGTTAACTTGGTACAGGGTTGACTTTTACAACTAATGACTATTTAGTTTTTCTGCCAATAGCGACGCATCAAATTTGACCAATAAAATAGCTAGAGAGTAAATCGATCACATGCGCAACATCACACGCGTCATGCATTTTGCTGACTAGCTTACAAAACTTACGTAATATGACGCGTCATTATTTTGTGTCTAGCGTACTATCAGTCAGGCTAAATGATACACTCGTTTTCTATTTTACTATTGGCTTACCTGTTCAATCGGTAATTGACCACTTATGTAAAAATAAGATTTTTGTTACTCAGACCCAACTCCATTAGGCTTGTGTAGGTGTGTATATGCTAATAATTAGTATGAATGTCTGGCCACAACTATTTATGGGACAATTTCATACACGGCTTGGTATTTTTTTTAATAACCTTATAAATATATCAGCGTACAAGATATGTGGGAATATTTTGTGAGGCAGAGATGTTGTTTCTTCATTACTACCACCCTCCCAACAAATGTTTATTGACACTGATGCACATCTTCATTTTAAGAGAGGTGAATTACTTCCGTTTATTTAGTTATATTATTTTTCTCATTAATGGTTGGACCGCGGCTTTGGTGTAACTCCCATTAACTATTTGTTAATGAGGACGTCAAGTAATGGTCTAGAAGAACTGTGGCTCTGTTTGGTTCCTTTGCTTCATATGCATAATTTTCCTTGAGAGAATAGGAGTGTGAGTTTGATTATTGGTCTATTGATGCTGGTATAAAGTTATCAAACTGCTCATTAATTCGCCACCGGATGAAATGGATATCATAAAGAATATTATCGGCTATGCGACTGAATCTCTGAATATCGAACAAAACCTCGATATGCCAAAGTAAGTCTGTGATATAAGTGTAAATTTGGCCATCAGTCGATTCGATTCAGAAAATACCAAATTATTGTAAGCTATTTGGATAAGTAGAGAGTGAGGTTGAGTCATTTCTTTTCCTTGTTGTGATGGTGTACGATTAACAGCACGTAAGAATAAGATCTGAGTACAGTCAATGTAACAAACTAGCTTCACAGGAAGAATTGATTTGATGTACGCATCCTATTTAAACAACTGTCTAGTGTTTAAATTATCGATTTCTGGTTAGTAGAATCTATAAATGAATATACATCCTTTGGAAGTACATTTTGTTGACTAGATAAATAACTGTATATATAATTCTTACTAGAAATTTATGCTATTGTGATGTCCCACTTCAGTTAGCACTAATTTAGTTTGACTTAATGACCACTGAAATTTTCTTCCAACTTCATTTATCACTCATGTTCATTGAGATCACTAAGTCAACTGAACATATTGTTATTTTAAAATATGAATTCTTTAGAAAATGTTAGTGTTTAAGTAACAAGATCGTGAATTTCATGGAACTTTAAAGAAAAAAATTAAACTTCATACTTAACACATGTATTGAACGTAAGTAAATTAATTTATTTCGATTGTTGAACAACCAATACAAAAATGCATTATTGTTTACCACTTTGCACAAGCTAGTAGCTATCTGAACGCAATAACTAAGTAAATAACAGTACTGGGTTTGAGTCCCGGAGTGAATATCAACTCCGATGCAGGTACATCCACATGGTGAGTCCAGAATAGGACGAAACGCGTGTCCTGGATTTCACTGCTAGCCACCATCCATCTCTGCTTATAAGGTAAGTGAATTAGTTGTCAGCTATTTGTCTATCCAAATCTGTATTGAACGATTTGTACTGTACAAGTGCTTTTCTTGAAAATATTTAACAAAATCTTAAAAATTCCATCGAAAAAAATTCATCCTGCGAAGATGAAATCCAAACTCTTTACAATGAATTCTCTACTGTCATTGATTTCAGTATTCTTTTTCGAATATTCCAATTGTTGTAAGTTTTGTTGTACACTTATAAATAACCCTGATTTTTCTCCTATACAAAAACTACCTTCAAAGTAAAGCATTCATTTGTATCGCTATCATTTCCATTTATCCAAACAGAGTTCTACACAAAAATCATATTGGAAGATTAAAATTCAATATTGTTTTTTCTCATACTAACAGTATTTAGTGCCTGGTTACACAATGCACTTAATAATTAATGTTTATAACTGCATGATGTGTAAGGAAGAGCTTCAAGGGGACTTTACTGTGGTCACCAAAACCCATTGATGAAATTCCATTCAATCTAACCACTAAACTAAATGACCATAGTTCATTGCGTTTGGAAAGATCAGGGGATGATAAATTTAACGCATTGTTTGTAAGGTTTTAGTGTAAATATGTTAAATTATACATTTAATAATAAAATCATACATTGAGAACTGTATTGTGACTAAGACATTGATATTTGAATCATTGAAACATTCAATATTTAAATAATTGGTTGTTTGGAATAATTTATTTCCTTTTAAAGAATTGCAGATGTATTAGAGAACATAGTTGATCACTGACTAGTAACCTAAGTCAGGTTAAGTTCTTTAGATTCCTGTCAAACGCTTTCAACCACCTAGCATCTCGACTTTGTACATGAGATGTCCACTCACTTAGGCTGGCGGATACATTGTAATTTGATCTATAGGGTTTCATCAGCACTGAAGGATTAGATAAATATAACATCAAGAACTATCTAATGATCAATCGACTGTACAAATATTAGTCCTATGGGAGGTTAGTCGATGCCCAGAAATGTCATGGATAAAGTATAGGATCAGGGAGCTAAGTAGTGTGAGTTCAAATCTTACAATTAGCATTAGTTCCCACTAAGTTGGAGTTTCCTTCTGACTAGCTCCAATACCCTAGTACTAGAGAACGACTGCAAATCAATGAACTAGTCGTCATTTTGAAATTTTGAAGATAATTATGCTTTAAATATATTCTAGCGATAACAGAATGGTTTCATTACATAATACCTCGGATACCCAATTTTACAACTGAACACAATAACCTAAAACTTTCACAAATCTAGTACACCATGTTCCATCCAAACTTTCTAACAAAATTTTAAAAAACTGAGAAGACAAAGAGAAAACAGCAGTTTTATTGAAGCTCAGGCCTACGATGGCACAATGTGAAGTACATAAATATTTATCATATGTTTTCAATTTTTTTGGAATCAGTCACTAGAAGTGCTCATTCCAAGGATGTCTCCATGTATACTGTCGTCAGTTAGGTAAGTTTTTTTGTACAATAAAAGAAAAAGTCGCGAATTTCATTTAAAAGGAATCAGGTTATGATGGTAAATCAAACAAAGTTTGTACTATTTACGTAGAATAGGTGAATTTCGGCTAACAGTAGAGACCATGATATGTGTTTTATCTCACTTGAGACTCGTGAGCTAGACGTAATCCATTACTTGACGCTTCATTAAATACATGATCTTCATTACTCCTTGCTAGTAGTTTTGACAGAAATTAAGTGACAAATTCATTCATCCTGGAGTCACTTTTTGTTTCTGCACAAATATTTATTAGTTATATTACAATCAGTTTATTTGTTTTTGAATGAAACTTATGGTTTAAATGATTTATCAGCTCTATCTGTAACTTTCTAATGGATCGTAACTGACTTTTCATAAAATGTCCCTTCAGTTGCTACAACGATGTTTGGATTTTCTTCACATTAATAAACATTTCTCCTTTAGTGTCACTTTGAATTCTCGGTCAGTTGGTGTGAACTTAAAAAAAGAAATAATCAAATCTCTTAGTTGTTGGAACCCACGTGATCAAGTAGCTGGTATAGTACCAGTTGTTTATTGAATGCAGAATCTCTGTTTTTTTCCCTTCAAGCCTTCCGTCCCAGATTGCTATGAACCAGATGTTTAATTCATATCACTTGAAAAGGTTCACTAATTAGAAATCCCGTCTATTATTCTCTATTCCAAGTATTTTTTTTCGTTTTTAGACTACCGTTTTACCCAGTAAGACGTTTTAACTGGCAACCATTAACTGAGATAATCTCAATTCTTATTGACTCAGACCATTATTCACATTAAGACTCGAATCCTATAACTTTCGCCAGTGTTTTTGTACCTATATGGTTGTGTCATAGAATTGAGCTGTGCTGTTCAGAGTATAAAAAACTTGAAAACAAAACATATTGATTTTGTGATACAATAAACATAAACGTATTATGAATAAACACTCAGTGATTCATATGTAGAATGACTAATGTATTTTATCACAGTCTCAATAGGTTCTTCTAAATGAAGCCTTAATAAATGCAAACACAAGTTATAACAGAACAAGTTCATTTATTCTATCGATTTTCAATTCAACTATTTACAATCTAAAAATAATCATAAATGTAATGAACATTTGTAAGAAAAAAGTCCAAACAATGGCAATATTTATCAAGACAATTATTAAGATGAAAACATTAGTGTGCATTTATTAAAAAAAGTGACCAATAGAAGTAGAGGAATTTGTAAGGATTCTACCATGTGATTGGATAATAATCGAGCAGGGTAAATGAAAGGAGATTGTGGTTTAGGCTATTTTTCTGAAAATGGAAAACTAGTGTAGTGGATTGGGGATAAACTCCACGTTGTCAAGTCATCTAAGTGTACCGTAGTATCTGTTTTACGATCTCAGTTGGTGTGGTATTAATTAACGGTACATCACATGAATTCTACTATCTCCGATGCTATATTTACCATAATATAATCGACAGGTTCAAACGGAGTACCGAACATCACATGGGTGGTCATAACTGCCTCTTGCTGTAAAAATATAATATAGTGACGGCCTTGAGTTAATCAATAGAAATTAAGATAACACTTCAACTCCTGGTATGTATGTTTATTTGTAGACTTGCTTTTTGTTCTTCACTAGAAGGGATAACTTGACCTGTTGGGGTTAATTATTACAGTCAAAGCTGTCATTTCACAGTTGTTTCGTTACTTTGTATTGTTAATTGTTTTATAACTAGACAGCGTTTCCTGTTGGATTGATAAGTTGCTAACGGTCGTCAGTGTATTGTACTTTTACCACTTTTATTGTTATAATTATTTAAACTGATAAGTCACATGGATTTGTAGGTAAAAAAAAAACAAGATTACAATGTATCATAATTAAAAATCTCGGTAGACATATAACTGCGGCATTGCTGACATAAAACTGA